ATGATGGGAGCGAAACTGGGGACACTGCTGCTGGGAACCGCACACTGCTAGAGGGATGGTGTTGGAACACTGTATGATTGGAACCTGATCATGAACAACTTTGTAAGGGTCTATCTCACCGTGATTCAATTATACAATCTTTAAAACTGATGACAATCTTGCCCAAAGCATTATACATATTTTATATGGTTTAATAAAAATGGTTTAATATGGTTTAATAATAAAATTAAACCATATCGCTGGAGCGATAGCACAGCGGGTAGGGCGTTCGCCTTACAAGCGGCCAACATGGCCGACCCGAGTTTGATTCCTCCGCCCCTCTCGGAGAGCCCGGCAAGCTACCGAGAGTATTCGATATGCCAGACACAGTAACAACAAAGTCTCCAATGGAGACGTTACTGGGCCCGCTCGAGCAAATCAACGATCAACGGGAGGGCCTTTACCTTTACCTTTTTACCTTAATAATAAAATACCTATGCCATTTTTTGAAGACATAATCCCACTGCTGTTGAAATATGGAGTAATAAACTCCCATCCTGAACAGCCAAAGCAATCTTAAAAAAAATAGGAGCCCTCTTTCTTCCCAATTTAAACTATACTACAAAAGTATCATAATCAAAACAGTGTGGTGTTGGAATAAGGACAGACTCTTCGATGGAATAGAACAGAGAGTTCAGAGAGTCTGGATCTCAGAGTCTTGGTGTCTTGACAGTCTTTTTTGTTTTGTTTTATGTTTTGATTTTTGGGTCAGTCCCGGCGATGCACAGGGATTACTCCTGGCTCTGCACTCAGGAATTACTCCTGGCAGTGCTCAGGGGACCACGTGGGATGCTGGGAATCAAACCCGGGTCGGCCGCGTACAAGGCAAATGCCCTACCCACCGTGCTATCACTCCAGCCCTTTGACAGTCTTTTTTTTTAAGGAGCAAAAAGTATGAAGTGGATCAAGGAAAGCCTCTTTAGCAAATGGTTTTTGGAAAGCTGGTCAATCACATACAAAAAAAAAAAATTCAACTCAGACTTCTAACACCTACACAAAACTCATATGGATTTAAAATCTTGACATCAGACCTGGATCCATAAATTATACTATGGGAAACATATGTAAAACACATGTGAAGTCACAATACTGACTCTAGAAATATATTCAATGGTTCAATAACATTCGCCAAGCAAACAAAAGCAAAGATAAACAAATGGGACTGCATCAAATCAAAAAGCTTCTGCGCTGCAAAAGAAACAATGACCAGAATAAAATGACACCCCACAGACTGGAAGAAAATATTTTCCCATCACACATTTGACAAAGGGTTAAAAAGTAAATATATAAAATTCTGAAACAACTTTATGGGAAAAACGAACAGCCACATCAAAAAAGGATCAGGGTGGAATACCCCTACACACAACCCCAAATATATGAACATATAATCTTTGATAAGGGAGCAAGAAATGTGAATTGGAGCAAGGAAAGCCTCTTTAACAAATGGTGCTGTCATAACTGGACAACCACTTGCAAAAGAATAGGCTTAGACCTCGACTTAACACCATGCACAAAAGTCAGATAAAAATGGATTAAAGACCTCAAAATCAGACTGGAATCTATAAGATACATTGAAGACAAGGTCGGCGAAATCCTCCACGATATTGAGGCTAATAGTATCTTCAAAAATGACATGCCACTGACCAACCAAGTGGAAACAGAGATAAACAAATGGGACTATATTAAACTGAGAAGCTTCTGCACTGCAAAAGATACAGTGACCAAAATACAAAGACAATCTACAGAATGGGAAAAGATATTCACCCAATACCCATCCAATAAGGGCTTGATATCAAGGATATACAAAGCACTGGTTGAACTCTACAAGTAGAAAACATCTAATCTCATCAAAAAATGGGGTGATGAAATGAACAGAAACTTTCCCAAAGAAGAAATCAGAATGGCTAAAAGGCACATGAGAACATGCTCTACATCACTAGTCATCAGGGAGATGTAGATGAAGACAACAATGACATATCTTCTCACACCACAGAGACTGGCCCACATCCAAAGGAACAAAAGCAACCTGTGTTGGCGTGGATGTGGTGAGAAAGGGAATCTCCTTCACTTCTGGTGGCAATGCCAACTGGTTCAACCCTTTAGGAATACAGTATGGACAATGCTCAAAAAATTAGAAACTGAGCTCCCATTTGACCCAGCAATACCACTCTGGGAATATATCCCTAAGAGGCAAAAAAGTACAGTCAAAATGACATCCGCACTTCAATGTTCATTGCTGCACTGTTCACAATAGCCAAAATCTGGAAAAAACCTGAGTGCCCGAGAACAGAAGAGTGGTTAAAGAAACTTTGGTACATCTACACACTGGAGTACTATTCAGTTGTTAGAAAAGATGAATTCATGAAATTTGCATAAAAGTGGTACTACATGGAAAGTATCTTGCTAAGTGAAATGAATCAGAAAGAGAGGGACGGACATAGAAAGACTGCATTCATCTGGGGAATATAAAGTAACAAAATGGGAGACTAACACTCAAGAATAACCGAGATAAGTACCAGGAGGTTCATTCCATGACTTGGAGGCCATCTGAACATTCTGGGGTTGAAGGAAGCTCAGATAGAGAGGGGAGCACCAAGTAAGGGTGTTGGGAGGATTCTCCCAGGATGAGAGATGCATGCTGAAAGTAGACTATAGACTGAACATGATTGCCACTCGATGCCTCTTTTGCAAACCACAGCACCCGAAATGAGAGAGAGAACAAAAGGGAATGTCCTGCCACAGGGATGGGGTGGGGTGGGGGGGTGTTGAGGGTGGGTGGGAGGGATACTGGGAGCATTGAAGGTGGTTAATGGGCACTGATGGAGGGATGAGTAGTCGATTATTGTATAACTGAAACCCAAGCACAACAATTGTAAGTCTACAACTGTCCCTCATGGTGTTTCACTAATAAAAATTTTTAAAAAAAGAAAAAAAAGGGAGCGGTGAATAGCAACTTCCTCAAAGAATACATAGAGATGACCAAATGGAAGATGAAAGAAATATGTTCTTCATCATTTATTATCAAGGAGTGCAAATCCAAACAATACTGAAATAATGTCTCACACCAGTGTGATTGGCATACATCACAAAGAACAAAAAGTCCAGTGAAAGCATGCTGGGAGCAATGTCGACTGATCCAATCTTTTTGAAAAATAAAAGTACCCATATCAGAAAACTAGGAATTCAGCTTCTATAAGACTCAACAATCCCCAGCAATTTGTGCTCAGGGTGTGGACCCCAAACCAGAGAGAAAACTGGGGGGGGGGAGAGCAGAAATAAGTAATTTAGTAATTTATGTTTAAACTGCGAAGAGATAATAATGTGAAGACCAATTCTCAAAGCAATAATACCAGTTCCTTCTTTTAGCAATGTTCATAAACATTGAGCTGAACTAGTCTGATGTGTATTTCTTGTCAGTACTATTTTGTGACTGTTCAGTAATAGGAGATGTTAATTAATTACACTATAAAATAGAATTACAATTAATTGTTAATTTAGGCTTTAAAGTGACAAACTTTAAAGGCTAAAAATAGTAGTTGATCTTTAAAAGGCTTCTTAATGAAGGCAGTATACTTTAAGTACATCATTAGTTTAAATGTTCAAATTGAGTCTAGAGGCTGCAGGAGCTAAGAAAATATCTATTCCAATATGTTAAATGTTTATTGCTTGGGACAGGGACAATTAATTGCTAATCAATGGGCCTAATCCTAGGTGAGGTCAGATTCTGAAATAGGAAGCCTGCAATAGTAAATTGGATTTAGAGCTTTTTGAATGGGCCTGCAAAAATCAGAGGCAAACAGAGATGAAAAGAAGAGTAAGAAAGTCAAAATGACAGAAATATCCAGATAATCAAGATATTACTCATTCAGTTAATGAGCAATGGTTTAATAGTTAACGAGTCAGTAGTTTTCAAGGATACCCTCTGTTTGGATTAATGAGCCATAATTGTTAGAATTATATTTACATGCCTGTAGTTATGTTACTTCAACATATAATTCAGGGTATAAAAGAATAAAACTCAGTACCACTTGAAAGGGATAATACTTAACTGGTAATGAAGATCTGAAATACTCACATCATTTTCCAGTATCATCTTGATTCATTTTCTCCACATTCAAAAGTAAAAGCAATTTACTACCTTAATAATGTTTTGGGGGGCTGGAGCGATAGCACAGCAGGTAGGGCGTTTGTCCTGCATACAGCCTAACTGAGCGCGATTCCCGGCATCCCATATAGTCTCCTGAGCACCATCAGGAATTAATTCCTGAGTGCATGAGCCAGGAGTAATCCCTGTGCATTCATTGTCGGGTGTGACCCAAAAAGCAAAAAAAAAAAAAAAGTTTTGGGAGGATTGCCCCACAGCTTGGAAGCTGGCCTCACATGGTGGGGGAAAAGGCAGCTCAGATAGAGAAGGGACCACCAAGTAAAGAATCTTGAAGGACCCACTCAGGATGGGAGATGCGTGCTAAAAATAGACTATTGACTGAGCAAGATGGCCACTTAATACCTGTATTGCAAGCCACAACACCCAAAAGGAGAGAGAGAGAGAGAGAGAGAGAGAGAGAGAGAGAGAGAGAGAGAGTAAAAGAAAGAGAATGGGCCTGCCACAAGAAGTGGGGGGGGTGGGAGTGGGGGGAAGGGGCAGGGGCTGCAGTGAATGGAGGGGATGGGAGGGATACTGAGAACATTGGTGGTGGAGAATGGGCACTGGTTGAGGGATGGGTACTCGATCTTTGTACAACTAAAACATAAACACTAAAGTTTGTAAGTCTGTAACTGTACCTCACGATGATTCACTAAAAAATTTAAAAAAAATAAAAATAAAAGGAGAAAGAAAGAAATGAGAAAAAAAGTTTTGTATTTTTTTTTTTTGGCAATCACACAAACATGCACTGTTGTTGCAAGTAGAAGTCAGCTATGTTTCTCTTGAGCACAGTTTCATTATTAGAGTTTCTACTAACCTTTAATTCAGATGAGAGGTTCCAAAGACACAGCTGACCCTCCTGACTTCCTGTCACAATAGTTTGCTGGTCATCAGTGATCATGATGGCAGTGATGCTGTGGGGAGGGGCCTTCTTCCCCCAAAGCACCACCGCCTGCAGGGAGGACTTCATGTTGCTGGAATCCTGGATGTTCAGAAGGAAAGAACACAAATCAACATCACTATTACATTTGGAAGGAAAGAGGCCACAAAACAGATTTACGACAATACCAACCAACTCTGACAATCCCTTTGTTGTCCCAGAACTATGAAGGAAGATGTTTCCCTGCCAAAAGGTGTTCATCAGACATAAAAATGGACAAGTCCATATTAATCCAGCAGATAAATGGCTTTCTTTTCCATGAGACTTGCAAGACTGCTGTGGGGAAGGACAAGAATAGTCTATCCACTCCACATTCAGCTTTTATTTGGGTGATATTGACCCAGACTGGAATATGAATAGTTTACTATTCTGCAGAATACTACATTCTGCATGTAGAGCATAATTATTTTATTCTCAATAATAGAGTTGTCAATGCACTATAATTTGAAGACAGCTTTGCAAACTCTTTCACTCCAGAAATGCCACTTTATTTGGGTAAGAAATGTCTAAATACTTCTATTTAAAAATGGAGTTAAGGAGAAGAGAGCCTCGGATCAGCTCAATGGAGAAATAATGGAATCCAGAGTTTGAATCTTGGCACTGTATCCTCGTCCCTGCCCCAACACCATCTCTATAGCACCATAGTTCTAGAGGCCACTAGGCACTGTTGCAGTAACCTTGGTCCCTTGTTACTCTAGTCCCAATACTCAGTTGGTTCCAGGTTTCACACTGAACCACCACTCCAGTTAAGAATTACAAAGAGAGGGTTGGAGTGATAGTATAGCAGGTAGGGCATTTGCACTGTGAACAATCAACCTGGGTTCAACCCCCAGCAACCCAAAGGATCCCCCAAACTCAGCCAGGAGTAATCCCTGAGCATAGAGCTAGAAGTATGCCCTGAGCACCACTAGATGTGGCCCACGAAATCCTCCATCCCCCAAAAAACAATCACCAGGAGGGCCTTCGAGATTCTCTGAGCACTTCTAAGGAGTCTGCCCCCATCAAAAATAGGTTTAAGTATATTGACTCTACAATCAGTTTCCTTTTATTTAAAGGGTTCTATGTGACTGTCATGATTTCTGCATATTCATATTTGCCCTTGACATTTTTAATAACTATTTTATTCTACTTCAGGGCATTCGCCTTCCAAGCGGCCAACATGGCCGACCCGAGTTCGATTCCTCCGCCCCTCTCGGAGAGCCCGGCAAGCTACCGAGAGTATTCAATATGCCAGACACAGTAACAACAAAGTCTCCAATGGAGACGTTACTGGGCCCGCTCGAGCAAATCGACAATCAACGGGAGGGCCTTTACCTTTACCTTTACCTTATTCTACTTATTTTTACTTCAGATCTTCCTACAAAATCATTTTCATTAAATTCCTATCTTCATATCTTAGTTATAAGGATTATGGTGGGTATATAAATATCAAGGTGAATGCATTAATAATAAGAAACTCTTAGTTCTTTTCCACCCAAAATGATTAAATTGTGATCCAAATATATGAACACTGCATTTTGTGAAATGTTAACATAAATATTGCATCCAAATAGATATTTTTATCTGATATACAAATGATTATGAGAAGAATAAAAGCTTGATGTCCTTCAATTAAATTAGGATGCTCTCAAAAAAGATCAAAGATGGGAGAAACAAGAAAGGACCCATTGTTGGCATAGATTGTTTGTAATGCTCAATCACATTCACCACAGATATGGATCTGCATCAACACGAACTTCACAAATCTACTGAACACTAGTTAACTTAAAAAATATGTTGCATACAAAGACTTACCTGCAGTTTGATTGCTCTGAATTCAGTATTAGTCCTCAATTTTTGGAACAGTATACAAGCATATGCAATCTATAGCATTGATGAACTACACTTCCTACAGTACCTAAACACCATGACATTAAGATTTTCAAAGGAAATATTCTAAGCTGGGGGAGGTGGAAGGGTGGCTCCTGATGGTTATTAGAATCCTGGGTGATGCTGGGGCTCAAACCCAAAGCTCCCACATATGAAGCATGCATCCCAGCCCCTTCAGTCATGTCACTGACCCTCTATTTGACATACTAAACTCATTACAATTCAGAACAGCAGAACTTTCCATATTAGTAAATTACTAAGCTAATTAAAAAGCCCTGATTCTTATAATACCATAATCTCAATATCTACCTCTTCCATTTCAAACACAGAAGGAATTTTATATTTACATAAGTATATTTATCTCATTTCTATTAGATAGTTAGATTATATTTATGATATTTGACAATATCCACACAAGGACAGGGTACAAAGTCCTCCAGAAAATAACCTTGAATAAAATGAAAATGGTGAAATAGAAACAAAATTAAAATTCCATTACCATGATAAAGAATCTTATTTCTAATTCTCCTTGGGAAAAGATGCCCAAGATGAATCAAAAAACAGGTCTGAATTTTTTAAACAATTGTTTATATGCCTCATTCTCTGGGTGAAGAAATCCAGAATTGCTTATAAATCAATGATATCACTAGGCAGCTTTCAAAATCACAGATAATTTCAAATTAATGGAAAGATTCTATCAAGACATATAATACACATTATATGTAGCAGTAATTTAGCAACTAGAGGGCCAGAGAAATAGTCCAGTAGGTAAGGAACTTGTCCTGAAAGCAGCTAACACAGCTTCAATTTCCCAGCACTTCAGATGGGTCCCCCAAAGCCCTGACAAGAATAAAACCTGAGACAGAGCAAGAAGTGGGCTTTGAGGACAGCCAAGTTTGGCACCAAAACAAATACAAAAGAACTGGAACTGGAAAAGACTGGAACCTACACATTGCTGGTGGAACTGTACAACAAAACAAAATCTTGAAGTTTCTTATGAAGTCAAATAGAACTGAGTCAATCCATGTCTGGGTGTTATTCGAATCTCCAAAATGGGTTTATGGAGAGAGCAGGGCAGCAAGATGGAACACGGAGAGACTTGCAAGGGAGTAGGGAGAGAGTGAAGAATGTAGAAGAAGAATACAGGAGCAAGCACATGGAGAGAGAGATGCAAGATGGAGCACGGAGAGATGAGCAGGAGAGACGGGAATGAGGGGCAGTGCGAGAGTAGAATGGGAGGCTCAGAGAGACTGGGGCAGGCGCATGGGGAAAATGGAATAAACGGCAACTGACCAATCAACCTGCTTGGTCCTTGTTTCCTCCTTCGTCTACCCATGACATGGGTCGCCCGAGGCTGGGGGAGCAGCCCAAGATCACCCACCCTGGAAGCAAGGGGAAAGCGGCCGGGGCCTTCCCTAGTGACCCAGAGATTATAGAGTTGGCGTCCCTGGGGTGGGCATGAACTACCAAATAAAGCTAGGTTGCACATCTATGACTGCCAAGGAACCTGACCAGAGAATGGCTGCATTCCCCTGCTGAAAAACTCCTGAAAGAAGTTGTGATGCTCCTGTTCCAGTGCTCCCTGACTGATCTAGTGCTTCCTGAAGTTTATCTGACTCTCAATAGCTGCTCCCCTGGGACTCAATGGTGTAACCACTACTGCTGCGGTTGCAGGAACAACTCTTCAATTTTTGATCCAGACACTTCATTTCTTCAGAACAGGACTAAACGACTCTCATCATTAGTGACGATCATCACCTCTGGACAGTGCAGGACAACTGGATGCTTCACTACAAGCACTGCTCTGGGTCCAAAGTTGAACTGAAATCTTAGTACAACTAATGAGACTGTTCTGTGTTTGGAATTGTTCCTCTATTTCAAAGTTTGAGTTTCAGTAAAAATAAAAGGGGGAGATGTAGGATAGCATTGGTTTGTCCTTTCTGCCTTGCCAGAGGGAGCCTAGGCTTAATGTGTTACTCCCATCACAGTGCCCCCATTCCTCTGTGTTTATTTGTAACCCCTTTCTTTGTGTCTGTTGACTTGTAAATATTGTTTTTCTCTTCTCCTTAAGTCCTTTGCATAATTAATTCAAAGCAATGTCCTTTCTGTATGGACACAAGAAGACAGTTAATGCTATGCTTCCGTAACTTGGCAGTTATTTGACTCTGAATGATATTTTCCTCCTGGACATCTGTTCTCTCAATCTAAGCCTCAGTTGCCCTTATTTCTTAGCACCCCCAAAGCAGGGCCTCGCTGAGGGACTGGATGGACCCAAGGCAAGCTGTGAGCTATATGCTACCCTGGCATCGAAATGGGCCTGGCCAAAGTGCCATAATACTTAACTATAAGCTCAGAGCACGGTGATGGACAAATTCTGTCATGATACACAAAGTAATAACTAGATTTGGACCCTGCTAGGAAAGGTTAATCTGGCCTGAGCACTGTAGTCTAAGTCTGTGGCGAGATGTTTCCAGGAAAGCCACACTACAAGCCCAATGTATCTCTTACTGTTTCCATACAAAATAACTAATATTAAGAAGTAGAATTAAGATGCTAATTGAGTGGTTAATTAAGTTATTGGAGTAAGGAGAGGAGAAACACCCATAGGTGGTGTTTCCACTCTTGAGCCTGATGGGCTGTGGTAAAGAACAGCTTTCTTTTTTTTTTTTTAATTTTTATTAGTGAAACACCATGAGGTACAGTTGTAGATTTACAATTTTTTGTGCTTGGGTTTCAATTATACAATGATCAAGTACCCATCCCTCCACCAGTGCCCATTTTCCACCACCATGGATCCCAGTATCCCTCCAACACCCATCCCCCATTCCTACCCTGCCTCTGTGGCAGGGCATTCCCTTTTGTTCTCTCTCTCCTTTTAGGTGTTGTGGTCTGTAAAAGAGGCATTGAGTGGCAATCATATTCAGTCCATAGTCTACTTTCAACATGTATCTCCCCTCCTGGGAGGATCCTCCAAACACCCTTTATTTGGTTCTCCCTTCTCTATCTGAGCTGCCCTTTCCCCTAGAGTGCCTGGCTGGCCTCTAAGCCATGGAGTAATCCTCCTGGTACTGATCTCGACTATTCTTGGGTATTAATCTCCTATTTTGTTACTTTATGTCCCCCAGATGAATGCAATCTTTTTATGTCTATCCCTCTCTTTCTGACTC